GTGTGTGTGTGTGTGTGTGTGTGTGTGTGTGTGTGTGTGTGTGTGTGCATGCGCATGGGGGCCAGATGTCAACCTCAGGTGTCTCTCTAAAGCAGTCTCCACCTTTGAGTTTTGAGGCAGGGTCTCTCGCTGAAGCTCACCGACTCTGCTCAGCTGGCCCGCCAATGAGCACCAGAGCTCCGATCCCGTCCACCGCCTGGGATTGGAGCCAGGCCCCAGCAGCTGGCTTTCACGCAGGTTCTGGGGACCTGAACTGGGTTTCTTGTGCTTGTACACATCTCTCCAGCCCTCGGGCATCAGTGTTCTCTTTTGGTAGGGTCTAGCGATGGCCAAAAGCTTTGAAGGCTCCTTAGGCATCTGAAGAATTCTCTGGCGTTTTTCCCTCCCTCCTCACTACACCCTCCTCTAGTGACATCTGTGGCTTCATTCTGAAGGGGGCTGTCAGCCGTGCCTGACGGTGCCCACGGAAGATGCTAACTGAGCGACTTTTCCTTTCTGTGCTAAGATACCCAAACAGAAGTGTGTTGGGGCTTACAGTTGTGGAAGGCGAGAGCCTCCGGCCAGCATTGCGGGGAGTACAGACCCACTACCCTGCTTTGAGACGTGAGAGCCGGAAGCTGCTGGCACCACCCCCTCTAGACAGTGATGTTCCCGGCATCAGTGCTGTTTACACCTCCCGTGTCAGGCTGCTGTGAAAATCACGGCCAGAGGACAGCGTTACCCTTTTCCTGTTTACTGTGTATCACAGTCAGGCGTTTGCGAGGATCTACTTTCTACTCATCACCACCCTCTCTAGAAACAGCTGATATTTGCTCTTGGTTCTTTTGTAACCATGTACTTACTAAGTAATACCCTCCTAGTGCTCTGATCTTAACAGCTGTGTGGAGTTCCTGTTGTGGCCAGGGACCTGTTACGGCAGCTCTCTTCTGCCCCCTCCTGACATTCCCCTTAGCCTCTCAGTCTTAGTTATACCTGATTGCTTTGGATCATTGGTCTATAATTTCCTTTCTTAAACAGCCTCCCCCAGTCTCCAGGATTAATTGCTATCTGTGTTGCCTTATTCTTTGTATGAATTTGGAGACTTACTTTATTTTATTATTCAGGATATTGCCGTATAGCCCAGGCTGCCTGAGTTTAAGGGCATTCCTGAGGGCTTATATAATTTTTATAAATGTTATAAATTTAGACGTGTTTGGAAGAAAATGAAAAAGTAGACTAAAAGCGAGGAGTGAAGGTGAACTTCTTTTGGTTTTCTTGTAATTATTATAAGTTAGAAGTCAGAAAGGTGGAGAAATAAAATTATAAACATTTTTGAAAAAATTAAATAACGTGTGTATGTGTGTGTATGTGTGTGTGTGTGTGCGCGCGTGCGTCTGTCTGCCTATCCGTGTGTCTATGTCTGTGTCTGTGTGTGAATGCAGGCACACACATACTCCAACTGCAGCGCAAGACCATTCTACTCTTGTAGGCTGGGTCTTGGTCCTTTGACAAACCGTGACTCAGTTGCCCCTGCTACTTTTGAGCTTTGTTCCAGCTGCTCTGAATCAAAGGTTGGCTTAGATCCTTGGGCTGCTTTCTCATCTCCATTGCTCCTTTGATGTCCCACAGATGGAAGCACTCGGCTTCTTCCACCAATGCCCTTTGGCACTGGGGGTTTGTCGGCGTTTACCGAGATGGAGGATATATATTCACATTATCAAAATCAAAATCCGAGGCCAAAACCAAACTCGCCGAGCTGCGCCTGAACAGTTGGATCGACAGAGGCACCAGAGCTGTGTTTATTGACTTTTCCTCATATAATGCCAACGTCAATCTGTTCTGCATCGTCAGGTGGGTGGCTCAGGCGTTTTATCTGAGTAAGCTGGATTTCTAAAGGATGCAGAGCCTTCGCTGGTGTCGCAGGTCCCCCTTACCTGTGCCAAGGTTAGAGAAATATGATGTTCTTCTGACGGTAATGCAGAAGAGAATAAGGCGACACCAGACTCATTGTTCTATTATTTCAGGATATGTTTAGGGACATGAAGAGTCGCATACAATATTCTAGGTTTTGCATTCTATCTGTGTGTGTGTGTTGGTGTGCACGTGCTCAGGGGTGCACCGTAGTGCCAGGTGTGGAAGTCAGAGGAGTCTGGGGAGTTAGTTCTCACCCCCACCGTGGGTTCCAGTAGTCTGTCTGATGCAGCAAGGTGCCCTTGCCTGCGGAGTCATCTTGCCACCAATACTTTGGTTTCATACGGTTTGAGGATACCCGGTCTTGTCATTTCTCTCTTCCTGGAATGGTACACAGATCTGTCATAACTTTTTCATAAAATCAGATTTCTTGGCTTATGGGCATCCATGCACACACACGTGCACGCACGCACACACACACGTATGTCTTGGCTTACTTTCAAGTGGGCTTCTATATGGTTGTCTCAGAATCATCTAAATTTCATGACATGTAACAGTGGCCATATACTAGACATTTTCACAGCATATTACACACTGCAGAAGTAGCTTCTGTTCTTAAATTTTCCACGTAGTATTGTGGTGGTCTATCCCAGTCCTTGATGCTGGGCTCAGCTGACTTGCTCTGGCCAGTGTGGTGTTCTCACATATGCAGCAAGTAAGCGGGTCGTGAGTTTGTGTATCAGTTTGCTCTCTGCACCTCCACGGTTGCCACGAGAAGGACTTGTATATGTTGACTTGTTGGAACCAGGAGGAAGATGAGCAGGTAGCGTGGAGCCAAGTGCGAGATGCTGAGTAGAGCCAGTCAGATGGTGGCTCTATTGAGATCAGCCTGAGCTCTTCGACCTCTCAATCAGTTTGGAGGCTTTTGTCGTAAAAGAAAAATCCAACTTAAATTGCTTTAAATAGCAACAACAAAAAATATTGTTTGCTGTTGTCCTGCTGCTGTGTAGGAGCAATTCCAAAATCAGGGCGAGTAATTTTCACAGTGAGTACAAAAGACTAGCTCTGTTTCTGTAGGTGATTTCCCTTTTGTCACTGCTAGCTTCCGCCTCATCTCAGGCTCTCCAGCACGGCTATGTGTCAGAAGCAGCCGTGGGCGGGTATCACTGTGCTCAGACGGGCAGCAAACAGACCTCTCCATCCCTCAGCCGCCTCCAAACCCAGGTGAGGCTGACTGATTGTGTGTGTGTGTGTGTGTGTGTGTGTGTGTGTGTGTGTGTGTCTGAGGAGCTTTAATCTGCTTTCCCTGAGGGATGTGCGGCCAGGAACTGAACACAGTCAGCTCTCTGTTTGGAAGGGGGCACGGGAAATAGCTGCTGGAGAGAGAGGTAACAGGGTCACCGGAAGCCGAGGGTGACACCGTTTCCTCATAGGTCTTACCTTGTTTCCCTCGGAATGAAACATGTAGTTTACACAAGACGAGAGACGTTGCGCTTGTGCAGCAGTGAACAGCAAAACATGCTGTTTAAAGTCTGTAAAAATATCAACAAACTCCTAGCAGAGCCAATGAGTACACAGCTGTCATTTTGTAAGTCTTGCTTTCCTCTCAGGAAGGAGAGCTTCTCTCGGCATTCTCCCATCTCAGTGCTCCTGAGCACAATAAAGGGCGAAACACAGCCGTGTCTGTGTCCTAAATAAGCTGGAAGCCCTGGGCGGTGAGCTTACGTCACACAAAGGGCTCTTTGCAATGACATTAATTTCAGGGTTTGGTTTTGTTTTGTTTTGGTCTCAAAACTGTATACTTGCGCCATTAAACATTGAGACATCAGCAGATCTTCCCACACCCCCTACATGCATGCATGAGCGTGTGCACACACACTCACCTTCACCGTATGGTGCCTTACCCTTCACTAGACTCCAGGATCGTGATCCAACACAAATCCCTTTTCCTTGCAACAAAGAACAACAACAGACCCAGCAGATTACGGCGGATCTGCCCCAGCTCACCACTAACTGAGCAAAGTGTATTGTCACCCCAAAGAGCTTCTGGGACTTCTTCTACTTTGGGGACCACTTTTCTCCCCAGAGATTTTACCCGACCCCAGGTACGTGGGTGTGTAAAATAAATATACAAATTACACATTACCGAGAATAAATCATACAACCGCCTTTGGCACCCGTATAATTACATCTCGGCTGAATGTTTGATTCGGAGGGTGCACATCTGTGGCAGTTTAGGAGCTGATCGATAGTTTGGTTTTTTTACTAGTTGGCCAGGCAAACCTCCTGAGTCTCCACAGACCAGACAGCCGTCGCCAGCAAAGGCTCCCTTCCACACTGGGGCCCCCGCTAGGTGCTTACTGGCACTCCGATGCTTGATGGCATCACTGGTCAATTAAGAGACCCCTGACCGAGCCCAAAGCCTTGCAACCACTCGATCACCACAATCCCAGGCTGTTTGCCTAATTCCACTTGGCAAGCCTGTGGTGTCCGTGCGGCCTGAAGAGTCACTCTTCCTTGATATGTTGATCCCAAAGAAGACGGATAAATATAGCAACATTCCAGGCACTTCACAGATCACAAGCAAGCCACTGGCTTTGTCTCGGAGGGCAATAGCAGTGAGGTCTAAAGCACAGAAAGCACTGAGTGTTTCCCCTGGGCCGGGGCTCAGCTCGGCTGTTTGGATTTTCCGTTGCCCTACCCTTGGAGCAGAGTGTGTGTCTGTGACTGCGGGAAGCCGAGCTGAGGGACTGGCTCGAAAGGCAGGCTTTGCTTGAGTTCCCCCTGAAGCAGCGCCTAAGGGTGGCAGGGGCAGCCCGGGGAAAGGGTGCTCACCTACCGAGTTCTCTCTGCATCCCTGTGCATGCCAAGTGGGAGCCATGGCAGGCGGAAGGATTTTTAATTGAATGTGCAAGCCCAAGGAAACACTTTAAAAAAAAAAAAAAAATTCTTACGTAACACTACAGCCCATGCTGACTGACCTCATGTTTCAGCATCTGAGTTTTTCTGAGGCCTGTTCCTTTTTTTAAAGAAAAATTTAAAATTGTATGTACATGGGCGTTCGCCTGCACGTATGTGCACCACGTGGCTGTGTGGTGCCCGCAGAGGCCGGAGGGGGATGTCAGATCTCCAGGAGTCGGGGTCTCTAAGGTCACGTGTGGATGCAGGGTGCTGGACCCGGGTCCTCCGGCAGAGCAGGAAGTGCTCTTAACCACTGAGCCATCTCCTCAGCCCCTCATGGAAACACACTTTGTACAAAATAAGTGCTTAGCGTTGAGGTACGTGTCGTCACTGATTTAGAAATTTTACAGAGTCTTGGAGACTGAAATCATGAACACCTAAAACACTCCCAGGCTTCGTTTTCCAGGCTAGTGGCGGAGTTCCCTGCGACGGGCGGCCTCCTCACCTCGTGGCAGTTCTACTCCGTGAAGCTCCTCAGATATGTCACCTACTACGATTACTTCATTGCGTCCTGCGAGGTCATCTTTTGTATCTTTCTTTTTGTCTTTATAACACAAGAACTGAAAAAACTGAATGAGTTTAAGTTTGCCTATTTCAAAAGTATCTGGAACTGGCTAGAGCTGCTGCTTTTGATGGTGAGTGTGTAGCCACAGCTATGATTTAAGGGGCTCCCATCTGAACCTACCACTTGGAGATGTATAAAACACAGGACTTTCCTTTCAGCCAATAAGAAGCTACAAGTATCAGATATAAAATGAGCTGATATAGGGCAGTCTAATCCTATGCCCCTAAAAGAGAAATCTATTTTCTCTGATTGAGTCCTTTAGCAAAAGCCTAGAGGACTCCATAGGTAATGATTCTCTTCCTTCCCTCCCTCCTTCTCTCCTTCCTCCCTTCCTTCCTTTCTTGAGACAGGGTCCCCAAATGGACCACATGGACGAAGGCTGGCCTTGAATTCACCAAGAACTGCCCTGCCTCTGCCTCCTGGCTGTTAGGATTTGAAGTGTGTGCCAGGGTTATGATTTAATGCACATAAGAGGTCTTGATGTCCTCACTCCCGAAATGTACTCGTGTGAGGCGTAGCATGGAGTGTTTGAGATTGGGGACCTATAAGGTAGGCTGAGCCTGAGGTAGGCAGCTTCGGAAGGTCAAGGCCAGCCTGGGCAACACAGTGAGGCATGATCTAAACTTAAACATAAGGAGAAGAAAAAGGCTTAGGAGGATAGCTTTGTGGGTAGCCGTGCAAGCATGAAGCCCTGAGGCGGAATCCCTAACGCTCATGTAAAGATGCTGGAACCCCAGCTCAGCCCTGATGTCAGCTTAGCTCTGGATTCGGAAAAAGACCCCCCTTCTAGGGACTAAGGAAGAGAGTGACAGAGCTGAACTCCAGCCGCCCCCCCACCCCCCGCTGGCCTCTGCTTGCACTCGCAGGCGCGCACACATGTACACATCACACAACAAAAAAAGAAGCAAAAAGAAAATGTTCTACCCATCTCTCTAGCATCCCCACTAATGTCCAGCAAAGGGCAGAACATTACGTGTCATTTTCTTTCAAAGTATTTCTGTCAAAGAAAGTCAAAGGAATATTTCAAGCAGTTGTAAACCTCTGATGCCTAAGATAACTCGGACCCGAAGTCATCTTTCAAAGAGCTCGCTACATCGTTCTATAAGGAGGTCGGTGGCAAGTTATTTTGCAATCAAGGCAGATGGCAAGTTTTTTTGTTGCAGCATGGCACAGTAGAGGAGACAAAGCTCTTAGGTGTGGTGGCTCAGAGGCCCTCAGACAGGTGCAGCGCTGGGCTGGCGGCATGTCAGGGAACCGGGTCTCTTCCTGAGCTGTAGTGAGTGTCTGAGTGGAAGCTGAGCTCTAACACGTCTGCTCTGAGTGGGCCGTCACCCTGGTGAGCAGAGCACGAGTCAGCCAAGACCGCAGCCGGAAGGCAAAGCTGGACAGGACAGTGGGAAGGCCAAGGCAAGACCTGGTGTCTCTCAGCAAGCCAGGCTTCCGTTTCCTGTGGGCTGTATCCATGCACACTTGGGAGGTGGGGGGAGGGCGCCTGACTCGGCCCAGAAGGCCTCCCCATGGCCAGGTAAAGCCTGCTCCATGTCACTGCAGCTTGCAGTCATGGCAGTGGAGAGGCTGACTAGCTGGGGACAGGGTCACCGCCACACCCACAAGGCTTGGATTGGAAGGGACGGCAGAAAACTGATCTGAAAACAGAGAACTGTTAAGGCAAGCTGCCTGCTGCCTTTGTTGTGCTGTGGTTGGTACCAGAGACAACGGAGACACGTGAAATTGTGGAAGCAGCTCAGTGGAAAAGCACAGATAATTGCCTGGACTTTACTAAAGAGCCATCTGTATGTTCTCGGACTCAGAGTTTGAGCAAGCCCCTTCCCCAGCAGTCAGAGGCTGCACTCATCAGCACATGCCTCTCTTGTCCTTGGTACAAAAATAGACTTGGTAAGCCACTTTTCACACAATTGTTTTAAAAGCCCACTCCTATCTCTACCTCCCCTTTCCCTAAGCATTTAATGAACTCTCTTCATGTGTTTCTTCAGCAGCTGAGAGAAATTTAGAGACAGAGATGGTCTCCAACTTAATCCTGTTTAATTTTCCCCTGTAGCTTTGTTTTCTGGCTGTTTCTTTCTTCGCATACTGTAACATGCAGAATTACCTCTTGCTTGGACGGCTGTTGAAGAACACTGAGAGCTATCCGGACTTCTATTTTCTCGCATACTGGCACATTTACTATAACAATATAATTGCTATCACGATCTTCTTTGCATGGATAAAGGTATTTATATTTCATTCTCGTACGTAATCCAGTGACATACATGTGTTAGTAAAACTATTACCTTATATGGAGGGGGAGCATTTCTCCACTAGGAAGTGATTTTTAGAAGCAATTTGGCACACTAGGTAAGGTTCTTGCCCAAAGCTGGTGACCCAAGTTTGATCCTTGGGAAAGAGAGACCCAGTTCCCACAAGTTGTCCTCTGACTTCTACATGTGCCCTGGGGTACATTCCTCCCCTCAAGCCCCCACCACCTCTACCACCCCTCCCAAAAGTAGTTAAAATTTAATTTGACCTTTAAATGATTGCTGGTAGATCTTCAAACACACTTGATTCTCATTGACTCCTTTTATCTGGCGAATTCTCCCGAGATGGATTCACCGGCTTGATTCTGAACAGCTCTGCCTGACTCTCCGGATTCCTGTGCCTCTTTCAGATATTCAAATTCATAAGCTTCAACGAGACCATGTCTCAGCTGTCCTCCACGCTGTCCCGCTGCATGAAGGACATCGTGGGATTCGCCATTATGTTTTTTATCATATTCTCCGCTTACGCCCAGTTAGGATTTCTTGTTTTTGGGTCACAGGTTGATGACTTCTCCACTTTTCAAAATTCCATGTAAGCTCTTTAATACAAATGTAATTATGTTTTCTCTCTGGAAAAATCACAGAAAGCCTTATGATAAGTGGTTCATTTAAAGCTTGGTTCTGTATTTTGCTTAAGACTAAATATTTACTCACAAGGAAGTCTACCACTGGAAAATTAAAATAGGTGGTGGTATCTACTTTTCAGTCATTGGTAGGTCAAGTTAGACAAATAAGTTTTCACTGGAAGGTGGGAATATTACTCAAGACAACGTAAGTGGGACCCAGTGTTTCCGTAGCATCAGCTCTGGGAACAGAGGAGATCTGTGATTCCTCCAGAGGCGTCCCCTCTAGAATCTTTTTTTTTTTCCTTCTGTTAACTCATTGCTCCTTGCTCATGTGCTAGGCTTGTACTTTAAAGTAGGTTTCTAAAGCCAGGTGTGTTGGTGCAGGTCTATAACCCAGCATTCAGGAGGCAGAGCAGGATTTGAGCTGAGGCCAACCTGGGCTAGCTAGCAAGACTCTGTCTCAAGAAAGTAAAAATATCTCAATTTTTTAAAACATAAAAACAGCTTTATAAAAGGAAGATATGGGGCATACACAGAGGACCTGGGAGTTCAGAGTTGTGCTACACAGCAGGTTTGGAGCGAGACCGGGTACATGAGACAGTGAGTGGTTCAGAGAGAAAAGAGAAAAATTATCCATTTCTTGTTTGAGACAGGATTTTTGATTGTTTGAAACTCTCTAGAGAAACATCTGAAGTTGCCCTCATTTTTTTCCATTCTCATGTAAATAATTATACCCTGAAATCCCTTCCAACTTCAGTTGACCACATTAAGACTTACTTTCTTTCTTTCTTTCTTTCTTTCTTTCTTTCTTTCTTTCTTTCTT